ATAGACGCATTTGTCACATTCTTTTTTCTTAAAACCATCCGAAAGCATAGCGTGATCAAATTTTTCATGCCATTGTTTCGGAGCTTATTTTAATCCATAAAGGGATTTGACAAGTTTACAAACCTTTTTCTCTTGGCCAGGAACTTGAAACTCTTCCAGTTGTTCCATATAGATTTCCTCATCTAACTTGTCATTCAAAAAAGTTGTTTCAACATCCATTTGATGTATTTCCAGATTATACAAAGTTGCAATCGCAATCAACATGCGAATGGATGTTATTCTTGTCACTGGTGAATAGATGTCAAAATATTCAAGGCCTTCCTTCTGCCTGTATCCCTTAATAACAAGCCTAGCCTTGTATTTATCTATTGAACTATTTGCTTTCATTTTTCTTTTGAATATCCACTTATATCTAAGAGTTTTACACCCTAGTAGAAGATCCACCAGTTCCCAAGTATGATTTTACAGTATTGATTCAATTTCACTATTCACAGCCTCTCTCCACAATGGAGCTTCAGGACTTGACATTGCTTCCTTGAAGTTTTGAGGCTCGTTTTCTAACAGATATGTCAAAAAATCTGGACCAAATGATTTAGAGATCCTAGCCCTCTTGCTACGTCTAGGTTCATCTAATTCATTATCATTGCAGTCTTCACAGCTACCTATAGCAGTATCAAAAGTTCTTTTATTTGAACTTATCTCTTCGATTTCCTTGGAAGGAAAAATGTGTTCAAAAAATGATGGATTCCTTGACTCAATAATACTGCTTACATGCATATCAGGATTTTCAGATCTATGAATTAAAATCTATATGCACTACTAATATTTGCATAACCAATGAACACACAATCAATAATTTTTGGTCCTATCTTAGTCGTTTTGGGACTAGGGACTGCAACCTTGGCCAAACACCCCCACACTTTGAGGTAATTATAAGTGAATCGTCGACCTTTCCATAATTCATAAGGTGTTTGATTGAGTTTATTGTGGGGCACCCTGTTATGGATAAAGTTAGCAGACAAAATTGCCTCTCCCACAAGTTCTGAGGTAACCCCGAATTAATCAACATGGCATCCATCATCTCTTCAAGAGTTCGATTCTTTCTCTCTGCAACTCCATTTGACTGAGGAGAATAGGGTGCAGTGGTTTGGTGAATGATACCATATTCAGAATAAAATTCTTCAAATGGTGCATCATACTCATCACCTCTGTCACTCCTCACTATCTTAATAGTTCTGCCAAGTTGATTTTCAACCTCAAGTTTATATTGCCTAAAAGCTTCTATGGCTTCATCTTTACTTCTCAATAAGTAAACATAGCAATATCGAGTGCAATCATCAATAAAAGTAATAAAGTACTTCTTACCTCCTCTAGTTTGAACAAATTTTAAATCACAGATATCTGTGTGAATTAAACTTAGAGGTTCAGTACTTCTTTCAACTTTATTAAATGATGCCTTAGTAAGTTTTGCTTCAACACAAATCTCACATTTATGATTAGGATCAAATTCTAAGTTTGGTAAACATTCTAAAGCGACAAGTCTATGCAAAGAATTAAAATTAACATGTCCTAATCTACCATGCCATAAAAAAGAAGACTCAACTATATAAATAAAAGATGTATTCTTATTATTAAAAGCCAAATTAGGTACAACAATATTTACATTAAGCTTAAAAAGCCCATCACTCATGTAACCTCGCCCCACATACATTCCATTTTTGGAGAGTATAACTTTATCAAATTCAAAGACTAATTTAAACCTATTCTTGATCAACAATGGCCTAGAAATCAAATTCTTGCGAATTTCTAGCACATGGAGTACATTGTTAAAAGTGAGTTCTTTCCTCGAGGTCATTTTCAGCACGATCTTTCCTTGCCATTCTATAGTTGATGTAGAGGAGTTTCCCATAAAGAGTTGTTCCCCACTTTCCACCACTTTGTAGGTTGTGAACATCTTCTTATCTGAATAGATATGGCGGGTTGCTCCAGTATCCATCCACCACTCCTTGGGATTGGCCACCAAGTTTGCTTCAGAGACTACTGCAGCAAGATTGATGTTTGCCACTCCATCGGAAAGATAAAAATCCTTGACTATGTTGGCTTGTGTTGGGTTTTTACTTGAACTTCCTCCTTCCTTGCGAACGTGACAATTCTTAGCACGATGTCCATCTTTGCCGCACACAAAACACTTGCCTTTGAACCTTTTTTTGAACACGTTGTTGATCCCTTTATTGATTTTTCTATTAGATCCTTATTTAGGACCATTGCCATCATGCTTCCACTTCTTGTTGTTGAATTTTGACCCATGTTCATGTTTCACAATATTTGCTTTAGCCTGCATGACATAGTTTCCTAACTTCTTGTCAGAACCACGGTTGTCCTCCTCAATTCCGAGTCGCACAATCAGTTCCTCCAATTTCATCTCCTTGCGCTTATGCTTCAAACAATTTTTGAATTCTTTCCAAGATGGTGGCAATTTTTCAATGATTGCCGCTACTTGGAAAGATTTACTGAGAACCATCCCTTCTGCATGTATGTCATGAAGAATTAATTAGAGATCTTGAACCTGGCTAATAACTGTCTTGGAATCCATCATTTTAAAATCCAGAAAACGGCCGACAACAAATTTCTTTGTACCGGTGTCCTCTGTCTTATACTTATGATCTAGAGATTCCCACAGTTTTTTAGCAGTGCTTTTGACATTATACACATTGTAAAGTGTATTGTCCAATCCATTGAGGATATAATTCTGACACAGAAAATCACCATGTTTCCATGCATCAACTGTGGTAACCACTTGCCAGTCAGTTTCTCCCTCATTCAGTGCCAGTGCCTTTTCATGAGTAAAGCGAGCCAAATTCAGTGTCATAAGATAAAACATCATTTTTTGTTGCCATCTTTTAAAATCATTGCCATTGAATTTTCCTGGCTTCTCCTCATGATTTACCGGTACTGCCAGAGTCATCACTGGCACAACAGGTGTAGGGGTTGGAGTAGTAACAGTCTCAGTACTGTTTATTTTTGTTGTCATAATTCTGACGAAATAAAAATAATACACCAATCACAAATTTATACACAAAAGAAATTACACACAAAATATACACAAAAAAAAAAAAATTGTAACAAAATTCCAATGATAAACAGTATATTACTACTATGTTATCAAAGAAATCATTAAACAGTATATGACTACTATTTAAGAAATTAAACAGTATATAACTACTATTTAATTTCCCGAAACAAAATATTTGTCTTTCTTACACAATTAAATAAAAATAAAAAATCTACTTTAAGATTGTTATACCCACAAAGGTGTGTATGTGTAAATTAAATGTATAAATTAAAATAAATAATAAAATAAAATAATTCAGAAAATAATTATATAAATTATTTCCCTAATTAAATGCTTACAGAAAATAATGTCGAGGCTTGTGTTGGACACAATCTCCTTAAAGTAGATTTCGCCATCGCTCCGGTGTTTTGAGTTATACCGGCGTCTACTTCCTAGGATGCAACGACTAACACTTGATTTTACAGCACTTTAAAATCAAGTCCAGCGAACCAAAACTTTGTTGAAACTCTCTCTTTGTTTTCCTAAATTAAATGCATAATAAGTACAGAAAATAGGAAAACGGAAAGCGGAGAAGAGAGAAGAAAATCTGAGGGGAAAATGTATGTTCTGAATTGCTGGAAGGCAGGCCTTAAATAGGAGAATTTGTGGCTTTTCCGAACAGGTATAAAACCTGTTCGGAGAGATTGGACAGGCACTAGACAGATTTGAATCTGTCCAAACAGTTTTAATTTGAAGGTGCCGTTTGGTAACACTTACGTTTTCAGTTTTCTGTTTGTATTTACAAAATTTAAAAAACTCAAATAAAAACTTGTTTGGTAAAATTTTTGATTTATAAATCAGTGGTCTCAATTTATAATTTTTTCCAAAAAATGAAAACACAAAAAATGTGTTTCCATTTTGAGTTTTCAGTTTTTTTTTTTTTTTTACCACGCAACACTAGCCACCACCCGCCACCTCACCACTTTCTACCACCGTCTTCCACCGCCACTTACCACCCCTTGCCATTTCTTACTCATTTTTATATTTTTAAATTTTTTTAAACATTTTGCTAATTACTAAACGCGTTTGTAGTTTATGTTTTTCAAAAAATAAACAAAAATCAGTTTATAAATTTTTTGTAAATATAAATTGAAAACGTAAACGTTACCAAACACACCCGAAATGAACAGGTATGAAAGAAAAAATTCTGGACCAATTTATTTGATTTTTGAAACCAGAAATAAAATAAATAAATAATGTTTTTTACCCAAAAAGTTAAGTATTGTGCCGGACAAACCCAACCTAACCTCACACCACACACTCGTGCCCAAGCCTAGCTCGACCGACTAGACGGACGGCAGTGTGCGTGGTTTTAGTTTTGGGTCCAATGGATCTAGCTCACTTCACCCAACCCAACCTCACACCATGCACCCGTGCCCGAACCCAGTCCGACCGACCAGACAGACAGCGGCAGCGGCGCATGGTTTTAGTTTTGGGTCCAATGAGTCTAGCCCACTTCACCCATAACCTCACCCTTCCACAAACTTGGGTACCCCTTGGGGCCCATCCCCAGTATCCCAAGCTAAGGTATATAAACCCATTCAAAATCTCAAGCCTTTCTAATGTGGGACAAGCATATTTTACAAATGTGTAGGAAACCCACCAAAAAACTAATTCCACAAATTAAATTCTCATTCATCCAGAAATGGTTTTGAACAACCAAAAACACGAATTTATTCACTATGTGGCATTAAACATAAACCCAATTAGAAACGTTAAAAATAAAACTTGAGTCTCACCTTAATTAATGCTCAAAGTTGTAAAAAATAATGAATTTCTAAAGCCATTTTCCAACATAAACAACCAAAGAAAAAAAAAACAAATAACGCGTTTTCCTTGTGCATGTAACAAACAAACAAACATTTCCAGAAAAACCAATAAACAAACAAGATATCAGCCAAAGAAACCGAGAAGTCTTGGGTGGCACCTGCCAGCGCCGACTGTCGCTCCTTGTGCATGGATAGACTTCTGAACTTACGGTCTTCTTCTCTGAAATTTCCTCTCATCTTCTTAGTATTCTCCCTCTCTCATTTGTATTTAGTTATCAGTTTAGCCAAGGATAAAGGGAAGAAAGAAAAAAACAGAAAAAAGGCAAAGTTTCTGCATTTGGTGGTGAAAGCAGAGTTCTCAAACCCCAAGTGTACACTTTCTGGCTTGTTATTGGTATGTGAATTTCTTATTCAATTAAGCTCTCAATAGAAAATATACAAAAAATTAGAAAAATGATTTTCAAATCTCGGTGAATTAAAAAGTTTGACAAAAAGAGAATATAATAAAACAGTAGAATATAGCTCCCATTTTTGTCCACTAATATTAGAGATTAAGAACCCATACACAGAACTATTAAGAAAAACTATATCTGGCCTAGATTCAATTTTTGTATTGTGGAATCCATGCACACTTAGAATAGATCTGTATCATACAATACATATATATATATATATATTTTGTTATTTTTCTGTCTAAATTCTCAGTCTCCAACATGCTCTTATTTGTTTTGTGACCTTTTTATACTATGTGTACTTTATCATATTGTGCAATTGAGAGAAGATTTAGAACATGTTAGGGAATTTTGGAAAAAATAAATCTGAATTCTTGCCATACAATTGTTAGCTCTATTTTTATGATATTCATATTGTGCGGAGATCTTCGAAAAAGTTCAATTACACCAAAATAATTTATGGTTTTGACTATAAAGCAAAAGAATTATACAAATATATACAAATTCAAATCAAATCACAACTTCACAAAAGATAACAAACCCCAGAGTATCTCTTGTTTGACCGTTGGTATGTGATCATTTTGCCCAATTAAGCTTTCAAAATAACTAAACTTCTAATTAATGATAGGGGATATGGTAATTCTACAGATAATTAGAGCAAAATTTTCCATTGATTTATAATTAGTTTCACCATTTCGTATTTGTCCAAATAAAATTCCCATGAACAATCAAAACTGTGAGGGGTGGTTTTGCAATATTCCTTTGTCCCAAACAGAATTTGTTTGAACCTCACTTCAGTGCCTGAAACAAGAAACACTCCGGTCAGGGATGCCGGAATTAGCACTTCAACAGTTAAGTCAGATTTTAGATGAAAGGAGAGGTTAGATATTTTGGGAATCAAATAAGTTTGGGTGAATGTGCATACCTTTATTCTTCTAATTCTCTTCCTTACATACGGAACTTGTGTATATATTTCTTTACGTAAATTTAGTTTTTCATCATTACTACAATGTCATGCCCATGTCCCTATTGCACCTCCGAAAAGGGACAGCTTAGGCCCATTTGGATTGGGATAGTCATGCCGAACTAACATTTGTAGTCGGCATGAATGCTCTTTAATTGTTGGCAATTGTTTCTTGACATGTCACCTAATAGATCACTCGGCGTCGTACCTTTAATCCAGTGGGCTTGGTCAAGTATAGGCCTAATTGGGCCATCAGTGTTGGACTTATGCTCTGTTGGCCAAATGTATAATTTTCATACTCGGCTCCCACAAACACATGTGCATGATAAATGTCAAAACTCATCAGACATATGGACCCAAGAAATCAAAGAGTCATGTTGTCTTTGCTTTCCTTCAATGTTGGTTTGGCTAAATTTTCAAGTGTTATCTATTCTAACTAGACATGGATGGAATTAAGATTTTATTTTGAGGAGCCAAGCATGAAGATATATATATACATATATATATTAACGGTCCGCACACGCAATGCGTATGTAATTCAAAAAAAAGGTAATAATATAAGAATAATGACAAAAAAGAATGTATACATAGTATGAGTTGTTCAAGTGGTAATTGTCTTCTTTGTCAAACCCAAGATATTGATTTTGAGTCTCATCCTATTCTTAATATAATTTTTTTCGTAAGTACCAACTATTACGTAATGATTAGTTTAGTGATTTTTTATTATTTAAGAAAAGACACGTAAAAAAAATAGAAAGAATTATTATTTTTATAGATAGTCAAAGTATAACAGGAGAAACAAAATAGTTTGAAAAAATTGCAAAACAATTGAAACTTTACAAAATATTTTCAAATTTATGAAAGAGTTTATATATATACAAATTCAAATCAAATCACAACTTCACAAAAGATAACAAACCCCAGAGTATCTCTTGTTTGACCGTTGGTATGTGATCATTTTGCCCAATTAAGCTTTCAAAATAACTAAACTTCTAATTAATGATAGGGGATATGGTAATTCTACAGATAATTAGAGCAAAATTTTCCATTGATTTATAATTAGTTTCACCATTTCGTATTTGTCCAAATAAAATTCCCATGAACAATCAAAACTGTGAGGGGTGGTTTTGCAATATTCCTTTGTCCCAAACAGAATTTGTTTGATCCTCAGTTCGGTGCCTGAAACAAGAAACACTCCGGTCAGGGATGCCGGAATTAGCACTTCAACAGTTAAGTCAGATTTTAGATGAAAGGAGAGGTTAGATATTTTGGGAATCAATTAAGTTTGGGTGAATGTGCATACCTTTATTCTTCTAATTCTCTTCCTTACATACGGAACTTGTGTATATATTTCTTTACGTAAATTTAGTTTTTCATCATTACTACAATGTCATGCCCATGTCCCTATTGCACCTCCGAAAAGGGACAGCTTAGGCCCATTTGGATTGGGATAGTCATGCCGAACTAACATTTGTAGTCGGCATGAATGCTCTTTAATTGTTGGCAATTGTTTCTTGACATGTCACCTAATAGATCACTCGGCGTCGTACCTTTAATCCAGTGGGCTTGGTCAAGTATAGGCCTAATTGGGCCATCAGTGTTGGACTTATGCTCTGTTGGCCAAATGTATAATTTTCATACTCGGCTCCCACAAACACATGTGCATGATAAATGTCAAAACTCATCAGACATATGGACCCAAGAAATCAAAGAGTCATGTTGTCTTTGCTTTCCTTCAATGTTGGTTTGGCTAAATTTTCAAGTGTTATCTATTCTAACTAGACATTGACGGAATTAAGATTTTATTTTCAGGAGCCAAGCATGAAGATATATATATACATATATATATTAACGGTAAGCACACGCAATGCGTATGCAATTTAAAAAAAGATAATAGTATAAGCTTATACTATTATTCTTAAGAATAATGACAAAGAAGAATGTATACATAGTATGAGTTGTTCAAGTGGTAATTGTCTTCTTTGTCAAACACAAGATCATGATTTTGAGTCTCATCCTATTCTTAATATAATTTTTTTCGTAAGTACCAACTATTACGTAATGATTAGTTTAGTGATTTTTTATTATTTAAGAAAAGACACGTAAAAAAAATAGAAAGAATTATTATTTTTATAGATAGCCAAAGTATAACAGGGGAAACAAAATAGTTTGAAAAAATTGCAAATCAATTGGAACTTCACAAAATATTTTCAAATTTAAGAAAGAGTTTATAACTTTAATTATTAAAGTTGATAAAGTTTACTATTAATTTAAAATTGTTTTTAAAACTCATATTGATTTGTAATTTTTCCAAATAATTTATAATGACTTTGATAATAATCAAAATAGAGATAATGATTTGATAATAACTTTTCTCACTATGATAATTCGTAGCTTTTTAATATTCATAGTATAATAGTTTATAGCATAATCACAATAGTTCATAAATGATTTTTTTTAATGATTTTTTCTACCATAGTATAACCACAATAATTAATAATTAACATCACAAAAAATTAATTTTTTTTATTTTAAAAAATGATGTATATCATAGCCTTCCTAATATATTTATGCGATGCCAATGACATAACCATACAGCTAAAGGAGTGCCAAGCCTATAAATTGGGAAGTTTTTGTTATTTTAGAGGGACATAGAAATGTCTAGAGAGATTATTGCCCTGGGCCCTCGCGTGTCGCCGGAAATTCCGCCTACTCTACCCCCAATGATATCTACAGATTACTTTCCTCCACCTTCTCCTTCTCGGGTCATCTGGGCATATCTTGCAGGTAAGTTCGTTCATGAAGTAGAAACTGTAAAAAAATAAACTATGGTAATATAGAAAAACATATATATAATTTTTATTTTATTTTCAATTTATAGGCGCAATAGTGCTTGTGGTAGTATTTCTAGTCATTGTGGTTTGCGCCAGAATAGCGAGAAACGCAATGCAATTGTTTGGTAACATTTACGTTTTCAGTTTATATTTAAGAATAGCGAGAAACGCAATGCAATTGTTTGGTTTTTGGAAAATATTTTAAAAAAAATTCTATTTTTTTGTTATTCGTTTTTTTTTTTTAATTTTTACTAAATTTTTTTAGTATTTTAAGGAATTTTAAAAAATTTTAAACACACCTAACATAAATACACTTAAAAAGTATAATTTTTGAAAAAAAAAATCTTAAAAAAATTCACTAAATACCACAAATAAAAAAAAAATAAGAAAATTCAGTATATTTTTCATATTTTTGTGTATATATTAATTTTTTAAAATATTTTTCACAAATTCTTTACTTTTGAGATACATATAAATAAGATGCATCCAAAAAAATTAAAAAAAAATGTTTAAAATTTTAAAAATATTCACTAAAAACAAAAAAACACGAAAAATAAAATATTTAATTTTTAAAAAACTGAATTCAAAAAACTGAAACCAATCACACTAAATTGTTTCAAAATTACAAGCAGCAGTGGCTCCACCACCTACCTTAAATGTGGTTTGCGCCAGAATAGCGAGAAAAACAATATGATTTACTTCACTACTCATTTCCATTTATTTTATTTTTTTTTCTTTTACAGGCATAGCAGTCGGTTTGGTAGTACTTGTAATCATCGTTAAGATCTTTGTGACTTGTGTAAAGACGACAACAAGAGCAATTGTTTCATATCTACAAGCAAGTGTTGCTATCTCTTCGACTTGTGCAAAGATGATAACAAGAGCAATTGTTTCATATCTACCAGCAAGTGTTGCTCTCTCTTTGACTTGTGCAAAGATGATAACAAGAACAATTGTTTCATATCTACAAGCAAGTGTTGCTATCTCTTTGACTTGTGCAAAGATGACAACAAGAGCAATTGTTTCATATCTACAAGCAAGAGTTGCCCCTCCACCACCACCGACGTTGAATGAGGTTCGAGTTTGGGACATCGATGTGCCAACAATGGAGAGGTTCCTTGAAGAATTGGCGAAGGAGAAACCGGTTAGATATACAGCCGAACAGCTATGTAGTTTCACAAGTAATTACGCTACAAAGTTGGGTTCTGGAGGTTTTGGGACAGTTTACAAGGGTAAATTTCCAAATGGAGTTAAGATCGCGGTCAAGGTCATCAATAGGAGCTCGGATAGAGCAGCTGAGCAACAGTTCATGGCAGAGGTGAGTACTATTGGAAGAACATATCATATAAACCTAGTCCGACTATACGGTTTTTGCTACGATCACATAATGAGCGCATTGGTGTACGAGTACATGGAAAATGGATCACTAGATAAATACCTTTTCAGCGATACGCAAGTGATTGAATGGGAGAAGTTGCATGAAATCGCAATTGGGACAGCAAAAGGTATCGCTTACTTGCACGAAGAGTGTCAACAGAGGATCATTCACTACGACATAAAGCCCGGTAATGTTCTATTAGATGCCAATTTTTCCCCCAAAGTTGCTGATTTCGGGCTGGCAAAGCTTTGCAGTAGAAACAACACACATGTGTCTTCTGCAGGATATAGAGGGACTCCTGGTTACTTAGCCCCAGAGTTATTTCTTCTCAAGAACTATCCCAGTACACACAAATGTGATGTTTACAGTTTTGGTATGCTTTTGTTTGAGATAGTAGGGAGGAAGAGGAATACCATCATAGCTGGGACTGATAGCATTGATTTTTTTCCAGAACATGTATGGGATGAGTTTGAGAAAGGCGAGTTGGGAGCAATGACATTGTCATGTGGAATCGAAGAGAATAACAGAGAAAAAGCAGAGAAAATGGCAATGGTGGCTTTGTGGTGTGTTCAAGACTCTCCCAAAGAAAGGCCGCTGATGAGTGTTGTAGTGAAAATGTTGGAGGGAGAAGTGGAGGTGAAGGCACCTCCTAAACCATTCCGTTATATGTATGCAAGCAGTGAAGGAAGTAATACACATTGATACGAGGACACCACTCCCATCATGGCTAGGTACGAGGTACAAATGTCCAGTTCGAGCTAAAGAATGAGAATCCTTTGTAAGTCTTTAATAATGATTTATAAGACGCAATATTAATGTATCTAATTTGTGGGAAAGTCTATAGTATATTTTGTTAAAAAATGTATGGTACATAAAAAATCAATGGCTAAAATTGAGCCACATCATTAAAAGTGACCTGCTAAACAGGTCACTTTTTATAGTTATGAGCCAAAATCATATTTCTTCATAACTATAATTAAATTGATCATAACTTAGTCACAACCACATCTCATAACCAACACCATTTTGTTCATAACTAATATCACATATTTCATAATCACATCTCATAACCAACACTATTTTGTTCATAACTAATATCACATATTTCATAACCATAATCACATATCTCATAACCACATCTCATAACCAACCCCTTTGAGTCATAACTAACATCACATATCTCATAACCACTAGCCACATATCTCATAACCAACACATTTTTTTTCATAACCAACATCACATGTCTCATAACCACTAGTCACATATCTCATAACTAACACCATTTTGCTCATAACCACACCACTTTGATCATAACCAATATCACATATTTCATAACTATTGATCACATATCTCATAACTATTACCCACATGAATCATAACCACACCTCATAACCAATCCCTTTGAGTCATAGCCAATATCATATATCTCATAACCACTAGTCACATATCTCATAACTAACAACCCTTTTGCTCATAATCACACCACTTTAATCATAACCAATATCTCATATCTTATAACCACTAACACATATAGCATAACCAAACACACTTTGACACCACTTTACTCATAACCAAAATCACATATTTTATAATCACTAATCAAATATCTCATAAACATTACCCACATATCTCATAACCAACATCACATATATCATAACTACTAATTACATATCTCATAACCACACCACTTTGATCATAACTAACATTACATATCTCATAACCACTAATCACATATCTTATAACCAAACACCCTTTGACTTATAACACCACTCTGCTCATAACCAAAATCACATATCTAATAATCACTAATCATATATCTCATAACATTTACCTACTTATGTCATAACCACATCTCATAACCAACACCATTTGCCTCATAACCAACATCCACATATATCATAACCATTAATCATATATCTCATAACCACTACCCACATATAGGGGTGTAAATTTGATCCATGAGCTCGCGGCACACCCCAAGTCCAGTCGCACCCTGGGTGGACCCAACCAGGCCTGAGCTTGAGTCTGAGCCTAAGCCCAACCTAAGACCCTGGGCTATGTGTTCTAGAGCCCAGCCTAACTCTGGTGTGTTATGGAGTGTGACCCATCTCGTGAGCTCGACCCGAATTTGTTTCCCCATCTGGCCCGACCCAACCCTAACAGCTCCCTTCCCCTTGTTAGTGCAACGGCCAAAAATTTAAAAATAAAACAAAATTTGAAACAGTCATATGATCGTTCATCCCAAGTCCTATAAATACCACCCCCCTCTCATTTTATTTCTGACAAACAAATTTGTCTCTCAAACTCTCATCATCTCTAAACTCTCAACTCTCTCAATTAATTTTGAAGTGTCATCCCTAAGTGACAATTACAATTGATCACCTTTCTCTATTTTATATTTATTTTTAGTCATTAAATATAATAGAAATAGTAATATACAAACGACATACTTTTTAAAATATCTATATACACTTATAGACATATATATATATATATATATATATATATATATATAATTTAACTAAATTTAATAAAAAATACGTTGAAAAAAATTATTTATGATGTGATTTTATTTTATTCTACTAAATAAATTTTCTCCTAAATTTTTTCTCCAATTTTCTTCGTTTTTTTTTTCTTGATTTGTCCTAGTTGTTCCAGAGCTCTCTCTATTTCTTATTTAGACTTCTCTATTTCGCTCAAATTATCGAACGACCATTGTTGATAATTCTTCCTCACTGGATTCTTCTTCTCTCTACTCCTGTGTCTCTGCAATAGATCATTGAACTCATCGCTACTCTCTTTGTCTATTTCAACACTATTCACTCTGGTGATATTTCTCTATCTAGTAAATGCATCTATCTTGAAACTCTAGCTCTTTCACATTAATATGTCATACATACACGAACCTTCGGCCGTAGTTATGATTTAAAGGTTTTGTTATCATCAATATGTACATGTGTTATAGAACTGTTGAAAAATGAATATTATGCATTTTGTTGTTCTGTTCTGCTATCTCAGTCCTCTTCGTCCCTCAAGCATCTGTCTTATTCTTTACTGTCATTGTAGATATCTCCGATGTTTTTTATCAGAAACGAAAGCACCTTTGACGTCATTTTCACAGGTGATAAACCCGTTCAGTCTCTCTTTCTCATATTCCCTTTCCTCTCGCTCTACAGCTAATCTTCTCTAACTCTCATTTTCTGTTCCATGGCTTTAAGTCGTTGATTAAATTATTTAATGATTGTCATCACATTTTGTTTTTTTTTTGTATTATGAGAGATCTCGATTGGTGATTCTCAGATTTTTACTGATTTGCTTAGTCGTTTTATGATAATTGTTATGAAACCTTGTTACTTGATTACAATATTTGTGGTTTATAAAAATTTGGATATTTTTGCTACATCAATTAGTTGTGTTGTTAAGTATTATGTAATTGATGTTATAAAATTTTTTGGGTTGGTTATGACATTTGTGATTTGTAAAAATTTTGATTATTTTTATTATGACAATTAGTAGTGCAGTTACGCATTTTGTAGTTGATGCTATTAAATTTTGTAAGTTGGTTATGACATTTGTGATTTTTAAAATTTTTAGATGTTTTTGTTACACCAATTAGTGGATAGTTACATGATTTTTGGTTAATGTTACAAAATTTTGGGAATTAGTTACGACATTTGTGATTTTCTATAATTTTAAACAATTTTGTTACGCCAGTTAGTGATGGCATTATGTATTTTGTGTTTTATATTACAAAATTTTGTGACTTCATTATGATATTTGTGGTTTCTAAAATTTAAAATATTTTTATTACGCCAATTAATGGTGTGATTATACATTTTGTAATTGATGAGTAAAATAGTGTTTTTTTATTAATTTTACTTAATAAAAATAGATAAAGGATTTATATTAAAAATTAAAAAAAAAAATTAAGTATAAATTGTTTTAATTTTGTTTTTTATAATGATCATTACATAATTTCGGCCCTATGTTCTCCAAAAATTTGGAACAAACATCCAAATTTTGTCAAAATCAAAATTCTCTCATTAATTGTTTTTGACAAATCCCTAGATCCTTTCTTTAGCCCAAACAAGAGAGAGAGAGAGGGAGAGAGAGAGAGGGAGAGAGAGTAATTTCTGGACTTGGGGTGTGCTGCGAGCCCGTGGGCCAAATTTGCACCCCTATATGTGAGTAATGATTATGAGATATGTGATTAGTGATTATGATATATGTGATGTTGGTTATGAAGCAAATGGTGTTGGTTATGAGATGTGGTTATGACATAAGTGGGTAAAGGTTATGAGATATATGATTAGCGATTATTAGATATGTGATTTTGGTTATGAGCAAAGTGATGTAGTTATAAGTCAAAGGGTGTTTGGTTATGAGATATGTGATTAGTGGTTATAAAATATGTAATTTTGGTTATGATCAAAGTGGTATTGTTATGAGATATGTGATTAGTAATTATGATATATGTGATGTTGGTTATGAGATATGTGGGTAATGGTTATGAGATATTTGATTAGTGATTATAAAATATGTGATTTTGGTTATGAGCAAACTTGTGTCAAAGGGTGTTTGGTTATACTATATGTGTTAGTGGTTATGAGATATGAGATATTGGTTATGATCAAAGTGGTGTAGTTATGAGCAAAAGGATTGTTAGTTATGAGATATATGACTAGTGATTATGAGATATGTGATATTGGTTATGACTCAAAAGGGTTGGCTATGAGATGTGGTTATGATTCATGTGGATAATAGTTATGAGATATGTGATAAATAATTATGAGATATGTGATATTGGCTATGAACAAAGTGGTGTAGTTATGAGCAAAATGGTGTTAGTTATGAGATATGTGACCGATGGTTATAAGATATGTCTTGTTGGTTATGAAAAAAATGTGTTGGTTATGAGATATGTGACTAGTGGTTATGAGATATGTGATGTTGGGACCCTGGACTCCTTTGATTTCCTTTGCCCTCTTTTTGGTAACCGGTTATACAGGTTGCCAGTTCAAAATTAAATTATTAAAATAATTTAGTTATGTGATAGTTATGAGATAATATGGTATGTATAAATAACTAAATATAACTAAATTATGAGTTAATATGATAATGATTATAATCTATATGATATTAGTTATAATATAAAATCACATATCCTCATAACTGATGTATGGTACATCCAAATGTACCATAAAATGCTTGACTTTTTTTATTTTTTATTTTTTATTTTTAATTTATGTATTTTATAGTTTATTTATCTTCAGAAAAATGCTACATTAGTGAGACTATGGAAGGAGATTAGTGTAATTTATCCTTAATCGTTTTTATTTACCGCTTGAGTTGCACAAAAATATTAGGTAAAATAAGTTCCTTTCTGTCACGGCCCGTATTTTATTACTCGAATAACATTATCAATATTCGTTAATCAAGTCCATTTACAAATGTCAATTCATCTTTTGATGAAATGATGAATAATTAAATATACATATTCATTCTCGTGATACAACAATGACATTTTCATACAAATAAAAGAAATGCCCTAAGGCTTACAATAAACGAGAGGACACTGCTTTTTACAAAAAAAAATAACACTCAGCCAAACAAACAAATAAAGTAGTACAATATATCAGTACATTACGCTCATGAAATGGTAAAATCCATTGTTCGATCTTCAAATTCAAAAAACATTCCCTGTACACATGTACAGGCAGGGGGTGAGCAACCACTAGCTCACCAAACAATCTCATATTAAAATATTAGAAGATATCCAGGTGCAAAGGTACTCGTACATATACGTGAAATCATATCATGTCAAACCAT